CCCTTGGAAGCCCCCGAAAGAAAGGAAGACCCCAAAGGAAAGTTTTCCGGCCCAAGAAGCCCCGAAAAGGAAAGTTAAAAAGCCAACCCACAGGAGTCGCCCCTAGAGCCGCGCCCCGGGAAAGGAAGAACCCAGGGGGAAGTCCACCCCTAAGAGCCGAGAAGAAGATCGCCCAAGAGCCCGAGAAGAGATCGGCCCAAGAGCCCGAGAAGGAGACCCAGGAAGAAAAACGGCACCTAGCCCTTGCTTATGATGACACCCAAGACCCCCACCAAGAAAATACGGAGGACGTCTCAGCTGCGTCTCCACAGGAAGCAGATTTAACCCAGTCTGAGAGCGACCCAGGAAGTCGCCAAGAGCTCGAGAAGGAGACCCAGGAAGTCACCCTAGAGCCCGAGAAGGAGACCCAGGAAGTCGCCCAAGAGACCGAGAAGGAGACCCAGGAAGTCGCCCAAGAGTCCGAGAAGGAGACCCAGGAATTCAACTGGAAGTACGATTTAAACCGCAGCATGGATGAACTGGCCGTAGATATTGCTTAGGACATTGATTCATATCTCAACCCTGCCAACGGACAAAACATGCTTGCCGGTCTAGACGAAAAGGAAATTGAAAACAAGCTTAAGCAGATGAGTATACAACTAGCCCGCCTCCTCAATGACATCGAGGTCGAAGCTGATCATATTATTCAGTCAACCGAGGACGCCCTTGTTTCTGCCTTAACGACCCCCGCCAGGTTTGCGTGGCGGGGGTCGTCTCTGCTGTGGCTCCAGAAGACGACTCCTTCTTCGACGAAGAGGAGGTCGACGCGTGTGGAAGACGGTTATCTTCACGCGACGTTGACTTTAGCTTCCGCTTCCGCATTATTTAATGATAATAATATCCATATTTAATGATAATGATACCGATAATGATAATGATAATATCGGTATTCAGTGATAAATAAATATGTATATATATACATATATAGATAGATAGATAGATAAAAAGTATATATATATATATATATTATATATATATATATATATATATATATATATATATATATATATATATATATATATATATATATATATATATATATATATATATATATATATATATATATATATATATATATATATATATACATATGTGTGTGTTGTTGTTTATAATATATCGCCATATATATATAAATATTGTATATATATATATATATATATATATATATATATATATATATATATATATATATATATATATATATATATATATATATATATATATATATATATATATATATATATATATATATATATATATATATATATATATATATATATATATATATATATATATATATATATATATATATATATATATATATATATATATATATGTATATATATACATATATACATAAATATATATATATATATATATATATATATATATATATATATATATATATATATATATATATATATAGTATATATATATATATATTATATATATATATATATATATATACATACACACACACACACACACACACACACACACACACACACACACACACACACACACACACATATATATATGTGTATATATGTATATATATATATACATACATACATATATATATATATTTATTTATTTATATATATATATATATATATTAAGGCTGCCCACTTCAATATTTGTATTGTACAGTTACACATTATTTATGCTTTCATCTTGCTTTTCTAGGCCACATTAACATCCTACAGATTTACCCAGTATCAATCTATGGATTGGATTTTTTTCCTTTTATGGCCATCTTTTTTAAGAATAAAGGCAACATGAAACAAAGTTACGAAATATAAGAAGTGCATCAGGTATCTTTCATGAGAAAAAGAAATGATTTCTTTTAATCATATTTGACATTAACGTTATATAAATTGAACACCTAGCAACCCATGTCAACAGAAATTTTTACTTTACATAAAAGATAAATAGGTGCTTATTCATAACTGCTTAGCCAAATTAATGTAAATCAAAGGGACAGTTATCACGTTCCCAAAGTTCTTTCCTCGATCCCCAGTCCCTAAGATCACCTCTTATCCATAAAACACAACTTCCTCTCAAAGCCTTCAAGTTAGTACAGTGGTAACGTGGAGGCCTCTCATCCGAGGAGTCGGCGGGTCGCGCCCCGACCAGGCGCGAGAAGTTGCAATTGTCACCCGAAGCTTACTGCTGTGGCTGGGCACCATGGTGGGTAAGGACAAAGCTCTGTTGCACTAGCTGACACACGTTGATCGAGTCATCATTAGTCGGCACAGGCCGGGCGAGGCTAAGCTTTGCATATCGGACCTATCCTTATCCTTGCCTCATCACTCGATTTCTTTGCAGTAAAAAGATCACAATGAAGTTCCTTGCTGTTTTCCTCCTAATGACCTTCCTCGTGTTTGGGACTTTGGGCTTCGTTTTGCCGATCCCGCTCTGCTCAAGGGACTGGACGTCAGTCTTGCGCTGGGAGATCAGCCGATATTTGTTTCTGCTAATTATGGACGCACACTTGCACATTCATAACAGTTTCAGCAACGTCACTACTAGAATCGACAAATAGGTTTGTTTAAACCTCTTTCTTGGAAAAAGGAAGAATGGCAGCTTTATTGATAAGTGGATTACAAAGAAAATATTTCAAAAACTTTTACTCCTCTATCAGAACACTTACATCAATGTGCGAAAAGTACTGCTGAAATTTTCGTTACAGGAAGATGAATCTGGTTTTAAAATAAGTCTGAATTGCAGCTTAGCTCATGTTTTTCACTTTTTTTTCACGCTTTAAACAACCTGGATCTTTAAACAGTAGGATTAATCTGGTTTACAGCGATATATCTTTTGTGAGGAAGGATTATGATTTAATGGGTTGATATCAAATTCTCAGTTCACGTTTTTTTTTTTCCAAAAAGCTCTTTACATAACTATGATTCCAAGTGGTTTTAATAACTATTACCTCTTATGGTTTATTTTCTTTCAACTACTTTCATCTAAACACCTTAAGATCAATGGATTTACTCTGGCATAGCTTACTTTCCTTTATGTAGAAGGAGTGTGAACAGTGTTTGGTTTCCTCTGGGTCTTCAGTACGTGGTCCTTTACAAATGAAGGTAATGATAATGATTTTGTGTTAGTTTTAAAGAGGGGAGACAAACTAACAAAATTTGGCGCTAACAATAACAACAGTAGCAATAACGATGATAATAATAATTTTAAAAATAATAGCAGTAGTAATGATAATAATAACCATAATAATAAAAATGGTAACAATAGTAATAATAATAATAATGATAATGTTGAAATGCAATAATAGGGATAACAAAATAACAATCGAATGCAATTCATATTTAATATAATGATAATTATGATAATCTTAATGATACTAACAATGATAATACCTATGATAATAATAATAACAATAGAAAACAATAAAATAATAATAATAATGCCAATAACTAAAAAAAAAACAATAAAGTAATAATAATGATAATAATAATAATGGTAAAATCAAGAGGAACAATGCCAACCATAATGATAACAAGATCCAGCAGAGGACCCTCAAGGACCCCTATAAACACCTGGACAGGATGCTGTTCGACTCGTTATCTTTAATGTAGAAAACGAAGGACCGGTTGCCCTTTAACGTCTTCTCTGGACGCACTGGACAAATCCCTTTCAGAACGGACGCCGTCGCCGCTGCCGTCTGTACGCCTTCGTCCACCTGAATAAGGGCCTTGTGATCGCTCCACTCACCAGTAATCCTCCGTCAGGTGCAAAGTTGGTCAGATCGACGGTGGAGGAGAAAGGTTTACGCATTCTCATTTTCTTTAAAGTCTGGAGAAGGAAGGCATAGATACGATGCTATTTTCAAAAGGTATTTTGCGTCATGATTTCGCTACAAGAAGCAAAGCAGTTTTTAATAGGTTGTCAGTATTTCATTTCATGAAATAATCGTATATTACTCCCTCAGTTTAGATTTAAAAATAGTAGCAAGACTTAGTTTTAATCTTTCAGGGATATCTATTACCAATATGTTAATTCAAAAGACAGAATAGAAAAAAATAGGAATGTAAGTAATTTGTTTGCTAGAATATAAGTCATTCCATTCTTTAATCACTGAAATACCAGACTTAACTAGCCTTATTCACTAAAATACCAGTCTTTCCTAACCTTATTAAGTAAAATACGACCCTTTGCTTACCATTCCCAAACTCCCAGGTTCGCTTACCTTGCCCTAATTCAAACATACCGAAATGAGTTCATTGTCGAGAGTAGTCTCCACGCTGAACTTGGAAAACCTGACTCTCAGCGAGGTGGAGGGCATCGCCTTTAACTCAGAAGCGAGTCTCTTGGGCTTCAGGCGTCGGACCAGCCATTCAACCGTCTTGGATCCCCTTCCACATCGCGGGAGGAGCACCACCATGGACGCCTGTAGGACATCTCAAATCTCCAGCACGTGGGCGCGAAACTTCTTCGAGTCCACTGAAACGGAGTTGGACATATTTCAAGAGAGACACCTAATGTACACATAACTGATTTTGATTTGCGATACAGACGCAATGAAAATGGAAAAATTATGTAACAAGGGACACTCTGGACACAAAGAAAGGTAGGGTTCATTTTCTATAAAGGAAGAACTCCCATACATTACCATATTTGAAATTTCCCGTTTGCGACATCATATGACAGACAGACTGTTTCGGGGATACGAAAAACTTCTCCTTGTGGGTACTTTGAGACTTGAACGGGTATTTCCAAATGCCTTTGAAGTAGACGGCGTTAGTTAAGACCATTTTAGCGCCTCCAAGAAAGGAGGGTTGTATAATGTTTGGTATTTTTCCTCGCGTTTCGGCGCTGAAGAAGGCATTGATGTAAGCAGCGGTGTCGGGCTGATGAGATTCAGGTTTGATTATTTCGGTCTCTGGAGTTTAAAGAGCCTTTAAAGAAATGTATCTGTGTTAAAATAATAAAAGGAGTTTTTTTCTTGTCCAAGGGCGTCTTCTGTACGCGTCATAAAAGTTAAATCCAGATTAAAGTTTCATCCAAATCCACAGTACTTTCACAGGTGTAGTACACACTACCAGACGCACGCGTCCATGCGATTATCAGTAAATCTGCTCTTTTACAATTAAGAGCGGTATTTGTGGTCGAAATTAGCAAACTCTTTGTCTCATATCACACGCTAAAGCTGTTAACGAGACGTTTGCTACAAATAAAACTTATATAAATATTTACACATATACGGTAGTCTTATAGCATGACGATGTGTATTTGTGTTACTACAAATAAATCTATATAAATGGCTTCAGATACTTTTTGAATTTTATGGGCAACAGAACTGTAGGTGTCAAACAAAGGATACATCAGTTTATTTTCGCGGGAAAGTTTTCCCCGAGAGCTTTTTCGTGTGAGTGATCGTGGGGCACGGGGTAGGGAAGTGTTTTGTTGTTGCTATCGAGGAATATGACAACAAAATTTCCATGCAGTTTATATTACAAGGCATTGTGATAAAAAGATTCAGAAATTTTGTACTTGAATTTGAAACCTAATCGTGATGTTATTGAAAGCTTTCTTTTTAAGTCTACTGATATGATACATACGTTGGGGTTGTTTTTCCAACCTGGATATAACATTGCCTTTCCTGTATCTGTAAACTCTGGAATTCTTTGTTGGACTTTCTTTCGTTTTTTTTTTTTTATATTATTATTATTATTATTATTATTATTATTTTATTGTCGAGTTATTTCTGCAGTTTAAGTATCCCACGACTTATGAAAATGTATGTTGATAAAAGTTCATACACACCTTTAGCATGAAAATGCCAGAATTAGTTTAATCATTCGTAATAAAAACATTTATGGCAATTTGACTTCATCCTTTTTATGCTCATTCTGAGCATGCCAGGATTAAATTACGAGCTCAAAAGTGAATGCTGGTCCAGAGATGTAATAAAAGTTGATCCTGGACGCTGCCATTGCGCATGCGCTCTAGAGATCTGGATTAAACTTGAATACTGGATTAACTTTTATGGCACGTACAGAAGACGCCCTAAAGCACTGAAGAAGTTGGTTCATTCTACATACATTAAATGATCACCACAGAAGGCTTTTCTCTGTACTCAAGATCAGCCGATATTTGTTTCTGCTGATCATTAACGCACACGCGCATTCATAAAAGTTTCAGCAATGTCACTACTAGGATCGATAAATAGGTTTGTTTAACCCTCTTTCTTGGAAAGAGGAAAAATGGCACGCTTTAAACAGTCTGGAGCGTCAGTAGGATTAATCTGGTTTACAACGATATATCTTTTTTGAGGAAGGATTATGATTCAATAGGTTGATATACTTCATCTGATTCTCAGGTCACGCTTTTTTTTTTTTTTTTTTTAATGCTCTTTACATAACTATGATTCCAATTGGTTTTAATAACTATTACCTTTTAGGGTTTATTTTCTCTCAGTTACTTTTATTTAAGCAACTTAATATCAATGGATTTACTCTGGCATAGCTTACTTTACTTTATACAGAAGGGGTGTGAACAGTGTTTGGTCTCCTCTGGGTCTTCAGTACGTGGTCCTTTACGGTATAGTCAGGGGCATAAAAATGATGGTAATGATTTTTGTGTTAGTTTTAAAGAGGGGAGGCAAACTAACAAAATTTGACACTAACAATAACAATAGTGGCAATAATGAGGATAACAATAATGTTTATAATAATAGCAGTAGTAATGATAATAATAACCATAATGATGAAAATGGTAACACTAGTTGTAATAATAATAATGATAATGTTGAAATGCAATAATAGAGATAAGAAAATAACAATCGAATGCAATTAATATTTAATATAATGATAATTATCATAATAATAATCTTAATGATAATAATGATAATACCTATGATAATAATAACAATAACAATGATAATACCTATGTCAACAATAACAATGATAATACCCATGATAATAATAATAACAATGATAATACCTATGATAATAATAATAACAATGATAATACCTTTAATAATAATAACAAGAATAACAAGAAAATAATAATAATAATAACGTTAAAATCAACAAGAACAATGCCAACCATAATGATAACAAGGTCCAGCAGAGGACCCTCAAAGACCCCTATAAACACCCATGAACAGGATGTTGTTCGCCTCGTTATCTTTAATGTAGAAAACGAAGGGCCGGTTGCACGTGAACGTCGTCTTTGGAGTCATTGAAGACTTAGTCATAACGAGCACCGTCGCCGCTGCCGCCTCTGCGCCTTCTTCGTCCACCTCTATAAGGGCCTTGTGGATCGCTCCATTCACCATTAATCCTCGAACATGTGTGAAGTCGGTCAGATCGGCGGCGGATGAGAAAAGGTCACGGATTCCCATATTCTTTAAAGTCTGGAGAAGGAAGGCGTGGATACGAGGCTATTTTTAAAGGTATTTTGCGTCATTATTTCGCTACAAGAAGCAAAGCAGTTTTTAATAGGTTATCAGTATTTCATTTCATTAAATAATCGTTTATTGCTCTCTCAGTTTAGATTTAATATAGTTTTAATCTTTCAGGGATATCTATTACCAATATGTAACGATTTTGCAACTAGATGCGCAGAATCTTTACTGAAGTAATGGTATGATATCTAAGTTCGGAGTCTTAAACTCGAAACCCCTTTGCGGGCCAATTTTCCCTTCAGCCACCATCTTGAGGGCCAACAGAGGTTTACATCTGGCTTCCCAGGATTACGTTTCTTAAACTGGTATTATGTGATTGAACGTTAAGTTTATTTTACCTATCACATTTTGAATAATCCTAATGGTAACACATTATATATGACTATTTTTTTCATGACGATCCTAACTTCACAGGCGTTGGGATCAGCCCAGTGGACACACTTAGCCCGCATACCATATATATATATATATATATATATATATATATATATATATATATATATATATATATATATATATATATGTATATATATATATATATATATATATATATATATATA